GAAAATAAACTTGCTCATTCAGTACTTTGTGTACTGAAGAGCATCACCCGTTTGTAGAAGTATTAATTCATAGCAAGCTACCAGAATGGAAAGGAATAAGGTGCATTCCAGCTAAACATAAAATGTACCTCAGAGGAACTTCGACATTTCCAAGATACTTCTCAATCGGAGACCCTGGCCATGTAGAAAATTTTCACTCAAAGATGAGCTCAATAAATAGAGGAAATTTGCTAGTAATCCATTATTAGCATATAATGGAAGCTATGGTAATCCCGTCTGCAAAGATAGAAATCAGAAGATATACTGCAATTTAGCCATTCTAGGTTTTCCATTCAGCAAAGAAACATTTATAGATGAAAGCCGGTACCCCAACTATCAGCATAGTGTCTCTCATGATTCACCAATATTTGAAGAAGAAGGTAACCAATGGGAGAATGAACAAGATAATAAGGACGATTTTTACAATCAACTCTCAACAACAGATCTTGAAGATCTTGAAGATAGAATGTATGGGTGGAAAAAAAAAATTACTTATCAATTCACTCAAAATGTAAATATATGGCCTTTGTACCCATTGTGAGTTCTCAATAATATAAATATTTTTTTTGATATTGCCAAATATATCAACTTTTTAATAATAATTAAATTTTAAAAAATATATATAAACTTATAAAAATAATAAAAATACATTTGCCAAAGCAGCCTTAAATACAAGTGTACATTTTTTACGAAAGCAGCCAGATTTACTTTGCCAATAGCCCTCATTGCACTAGTTCAAAAAAATAAAATAAAACAAAACAAAACAAAAAAAATAGCCCTCATTGCAATAAATTATAGTAATTGTACTGAAGGGAGATTTGGGGCCCACACAGTAGGTCCAGATAGACGGCATTGTTTGGGTCGGGTCAATGTTTATGGGCATGTGACCTTTTCTATATATTGCTTTGTGGGTTTGACTTATACACTCGAGGCAATCTATTTTGGGCCGGCCTTGGGTTCATTAACTTTTGGGCCATTGTTGCTGGCCCAAAATTTAGGGGTTGTTTAGGATGTTCTAAATAAATATATTTTTTGACTTTTTATAAAAAGATATGTAGAAAAGTAGAGAAAAAATGTTGATTGATGTGACTCAAAAAAGATAAAAAAATAAAAAGTATGGACTTTTTTAATCTTCCCAAACTAGGCCTTAGTTTTTTTTGAGCTCTGCTACAGAGCCCGAAAGGGTTTCGAGCCAAATTTGGCTCGAATTTGAGAAGGAGGAGGAAAAAGAATTTAATAAACAGTTTTCCGAACACATGCTTTCTGATATCCGATCAACTTGATTTTTGACAGGTATGATATACTGAATAAATTATAAAATATGAACTGTTCGGATTATCAAAATTGAGCCTAAAAATAGACCCGAAGGCCTGCAAGGACGGGCGTAAGGATGAGGGCTGCAAGGAGAATATCGTCATTCCAATGTTTATGGGCATGTGACCTTTTCTATATATTGCTTCGTGGGTTTGACTTATACACTCGAGGCAATCTATTTTGGGCCGGCCTTGGGTTCATTAACTTTTGGGCCATTGTTGCTGGTCCAAAATTTAGGGGTTGCTTGGGATGTTCTAAATAAGTATATTTTTTAACTTTTTATAAAAAGATATAGAGAAGATATGTTAATTAATGTGATCCAAAAAAGATAAAAAAATAAAAAGTATGGACTTTTTTAATCTACCCAAACTAGGCCTTAGTTTTTTTTAGTAGTAGTTGGCCCACATTTTAGTTGATCTACTTAGGCACTATTTCACATCACTATATTAATATACTTTTTTATTTTTCTATTTTTTTAAGCCCTCGTTTGGGAACAGACTAATTTAGTAACTTTTTGGCTATTTGGCTAAAATATGAGCTAAAAAAAACTAGTATGTTTGGGATGATTTTTTGACTTTTTACGAAAAGATGTGCAAAAAGTAGAGAGAAGAGAGAATCTTTGACTTTTTGGTATGGGTTGTTGGCTTTTTGGCTAATTTAGTAACTTTTTGACTTTTTTGCCAAAAAGGAGGGTTCCCAAACGAGGCTTAAGTCATATTTTATCTCTATTTTTTTTTGTATATCTTTTCATAAAAAATTAAAAATATACTTATTTAAATTATTCTAAACACACTCTTAATGAGTCTTCCAAAATAAGTTATTTAAATTATAAAAATAGACTTAGGGTAAATCTCACTAAAGAGTACAACAAATTGTCAGCACACTAGGGATCCCTAATCCATAATTGGATCGTTTGTGAACAGATTAATTTAGTAACTTTTTGACTATTTGGCTAAAAAGGTAGATAAAAAAAACTTACATGTTTGAGATGACTTTTTGGCTAATTACGAAAAGATGTGCAAAAAGTAGAGAGAAAAGAGAATCTTTGACTTTTTGGTATGAGTTGTTGGCTTTTTGGTTAAAATGGTAATTTTTTAACTTTTTGACTAAAAAGGTAAGTCCCCAAACGGGACCTAAATTTTGGATACTATCACATACGTCACTATGTTTTAGAATGAAACATAAATTGTTAAAAAACATGTAAATCCAGCCAAACAACCAAGTTTGGCTTCTTAAAAAACTCATTCATTTAATGGTGACTTAATGGTAAGTCATCATCCAAACCCTATTTCATGCATCAAGACTTGTGTAGATTCTGATTAACTTAGTTTAGTAAATAGAATGTAGATTTTTATTTCATGTAATAATATTTTAACTTGCCCTTCTTAAAAAAACAATAGTTTATAACTACTATATTGTCATTATAACCTCTATAACTTTTGTTATATTTAATATAAATATATCATAAATCTTTAATCACCATTGATAATATAAAAAGAATAGCTCCATTCCATATGTGAAATGCGAGAATTTAGATTCGAGTTGTATAATAGCCTGCCCTATTTATTGATACGAGAAATATTAGAGATTTATAATTTAAATTTATAAAATAATTATGATAAAGGAGGTTTTTTTTTTTTGTTTATATTTTTTTATCAAATGTGATAAAGGAGTTGAATCCTATATATTTAAATGTGTGTGAATCAAATTAAAATAATTTTGAGCGAATTATACTAATAATCCTTATAATTTGAGACTCGTATCATTTTGATCCATAACTTTTTAATTGTGACACATTTGATCATGGATTTTGAATCTTATTCCAAATAAAGACAATTGAAGATACTATTACTCAATTTTAAGGATAAAGTCATCAATTTGATAAAATATAAACTAATTTGACAAAAATAAATGTCAAATTTTTTTTAAAAATTATTTATATCCACCAAAGATAAAATTATGTAAAATTTTTACGCATTTATTTATTTACCAAATTAATTTTTATTATGTGTTTGGATGATGGTCATATAATGTGTGGTTATTAGGCTTTTAATGTGTAATCAATATATTTAATATATGAAATGTTTTTAATTTTGAATTTTTTGATTTAGTGAATTGGTTTAATAATGATATTAAAGTTGTCACCAAATTTGAGTTTTAAAAAAATAAAAACTAATTTAATAAAAATAAAAATAACTATTCATTACATGACCGTAATCTAAATACATAATAAAAACTAATTTGGTAATAAATAAATAAATAAATATGTAAAAGATTTATCAATTGTACATAATTTTTATCTTTGGTAGGTAAAAATAATTTTTGAAGATTTAAAAATATTTTTTTGGACATTTATTTTTATCAAATTAGTTTATATTTTATTAAATTGACGACTATTTCCTTGAAATTGAATAATAGTATCTTCAATTATTTTTATTTAAAATAAGATTTAAAATTTAAGATCAAAAAGTCAAAAATTAAAATGATACAAATTTTAAATTATAAGGACTGTTAGTATAATTTACCCAATATTTTTTTTTTTAAATCACAAACATTTTCTTCTAGTGTTGTATAATCATGCACATTGTAATAAATGGAATGATAAAAAAGGAAGCATGAGAAAGGAAAGCCACTTTTGTGATCTAGAATTCGAAAGGAGACAGCTAGCTTGGTGCAATGTTGACCAAAGCCTCACTTGGCGAGTGATGATTTTAATTAGAAAGTTAAAAAATTATTTTTAAAAAAATCAATAATTTATATTAAAAAATTAAAATATATATATTTTTTATTTTTTACACATTTTTTTGTTAAAAATTAAAAAATTATCTCAAACATATTAATTTTTTTACATCATATTTTAATCAAAAAATTAAAAAATTATTAAAAAAACTGTTTCTAAACCAGGCATAAATACATTTTTTTTTTTTTTTTTACATTGGAAAGTAACTAAATGCAATACTCATCTCATACCTAAAAGAAAGAAAAAAAGAAAAAGAAAAAAAAAACAGCAATACTCATCCATGACCCCACTCTACACCAATCTAGATTCCCAAACAATGAATGAGATAAGGTAACCTATTCCCATCTCCATCTCCATCTCCACCCATATTATGAATAAATAAAATCATTTTGAGCACTCTAATTAGAATTCCATAAAATCAACCAAATTAATTATTAATCATAATTCTTGCATTTTATTAGAAAGTAAATAATTAAGTTTTGTCATAGGCAAAATTCTCTCACAAAACAACATATATATTTAAAATGCCTTAATGAGTGAGAATACTTTGTTTTTCACCGATACTCAAATTCAAATTTTTTATTCTTACTGGTAGTAAAAAAGAAATGAGAGAGATAGAAAATAAAATAAACGAATTCAATTCTGAAATGTGTTTTGTTTTGAATATTCAAAAAATACTCCTTGTGTAGTTTAAATTTATTTTATATATAAAATAAATTTAAAATTTGTAACATTATTGCATTAGTCCAAACCTACCGTTGCCAGTATTGCTCATAGTGAAAACTTTTTCCACATTCCACTCCCTAAAATACCCTTCATTATACAAATAAACAACCCCCATTAAATCATTCTCATCCCCACTCTGCAACACTCCACACCACAAAGAAAGAAAGAAAGAAAATCAAGAATGGAAGATCTCTTCTCCCAATTCATCATCCTCTCAGACCAATCACTCTATGACAAGAACTTTGATCCTTCCACCATTGAAGACTTCATGAAGCTCTTTGAATTAGAGTCCTACAAATCATGGGCTGCCATGGAACTTGAGCATGAAAATGAAGTGGAACAAGCAGAGGAGTCCATGAAGGAGGCAGAGGATGAGCTTGACTCTGCCATGGAAAGTGCCATGGAAGAGTTTCGGCTTTTCGAAGAGGAAATGGAAAGGGAAGCCAAGGTTGAGCTGCAGGGGTTGGTTAGGATTGGTGAGTCTGCTTGGAAGATGGGAAAATCAATGGAAAAAGCAGCATCCATTGCCTCAAGAAAATATGTGGAGGCTGCTATGAATTCTGCTAGTGCATCGATGAAATCGGCATGGAAGGGACTCTCTTCTTCTAATACCAACAAGGTTCATCCTTCTTGAAGAAACTGTAATTGCCTTGAATTTAATATTTGTGTTCAATTTTTTTTTTTTTTTTTTTGGGTGTTGGAGAATAGTAGATCCATGGACTTGTTTGGAAAAAAATCAACTACTCTTCTTGATCTTAGTCTTGGGAGAATATTTTTATTAAAAAATTCAACTACTCTTCTTGTTCCAAGGACGATTTTTCTGGGAAATCATTTACTTTTTTTTTTTTTTAATACTCTCATGATGCCTTTGTTTCTCATCTTGCTCATTGATTTGGTTTATGTTTGGATTATGGAATTGAGTAGAGATTTGTGGAGTGAAAAGAAAAGGGTTTTTGCTCCACAAATCAATATTAAAATTGAAGATCCAAACACTAGTCATTGTGACAGTGATAGTAATAGCGATGATGATAAGGATGATTAATGGTATTATTCATGGAAGGTAAGCAAGAACACTTGTTTTCATGGATTTTCTTGATCTAAAACAAGATTATGATTTAACAAAATTACATTCAAAAGTATTCTTTTATGATCTCTTGGTTGAGGCCTAAAGTGTACATCATATGAATGATTTTTGCTATGAGCTAGTTATGGTATTAAACTACAGAAGGAGCTCTGTGTGCAATGTGCAAAGGGAGAAAAAGGTTGTGCTTCTTTTTTCTTTTTCTTTTTTTCAATGTAGAAGAAGAATCGGGAAAGTAATAATAATGCGTTCATATCAGTAAGGAGCCAGACATTGCACCTAATAATACACCACCTACCAAACTTACTTAGGCTTCGTTTGGCAACTATATATTTTAATCAAAAAATCATTATAAATGGTCATATCACTTTCTTTATTTTTCGACACATCTTTTTATAAAAAGTCTAAAAATTACTAAAATAGCTTATTGTCAAACGTGGCCTTAGTCTTAAAACTATTATGGAATAATGTAAAATTTGTGTGATCAATACTTTGTTATTTGGAGGAATGCTTTCCAATTAATAATGCTACACTTACCAAGTCATACCATGTGGTATTACAATCGCTCAATCAATACTCATTTAACAATTCACACTCATGCAATATGACTTGATGATATACACATCATTTGTAATATTTTTCAGAAAATTGAAGGATCCTAATTCCTATGGATGTACTAGATTTTTTAATTGCTATTCATAACTAGAGTAAGAAGATGCTCTTGAAAGAGGGACATGTCATCAGCTCAACAATGCTCATATCTCAAATTTGGTAATTGGTGAATCTGGGACTGTTGCCTTTGGACTAATAGCATGATTGCTTGATTTGTCTGTGCTTGAACTTGAAGGATAGTGTGGATTAGGTAAGACTTAATTAAGAGGTTTTATTATCGTTTAGTCAAAAATGAAGGTAATTAACAAAAGCAAGGATCCTCTAAAGTGATTTTTTTCTAAAGTTTCCTAGAGTACTACATTGTGTGGTTGAGATTTACTGGCAAGTCACTTCAATTTTTTTGATGTGACTTGTCAATAAATCTCAACCACACAATATAGCACTCTAGGAAACTTTAGAGAAATTTCACTCTAGAGGATCCTTGGTGAATTAACAATGAGTTAATGATGGCAAGTACATTGATCGTCCCGTGCCTTTTTTTCATCTACTTTTTTTTCTATTACAAAAATTCATAGTTGGGTCAAAATATAATTTGATGAGAAATGTAAGAGTTAATTGTCAAAATGAAAAATTAACAGACCGAAGTGGTACTTCCTGTGAAATGTAGGGATAATAAGAGTAATTCACGCGTAACAGGTTTATACATGCCCCAGCCTTAGATAAAGAATAGTTGCATAGAGATATATCTGTTTCTTCATGCATTGTTAAGATCAATATTGGTTTTTACATGTAAAACAAAAAAAACAAAAACAAAAACAAAATCAGTGGTAAAGCTAATGGAACATATCTACACTGAATTTTTTTTCTTCTCTCTACTCTCTTTTCAAATCTCTATCTCTATTCAAATTTATAATCCAAACATAATTTTAATAAAACTCATTTTTTCTTTTTATGTTGCTTTTAGTCTCACTAGATTGTGTTTGGACTATAGATATGGGTAGGAATTTGAAAAGGAAAGAGAAAAGTTAATGTAAATGAAATATAAGTTTAATTTTTTCTACATTTGTTTTTTCATTTTTCAATTCTTTATTTAAATTCATTATAGGCCTCATTAGAAAACATATTATTTTAGTAACGTTTTGACTTTTTACGAAAAAATATGCAGAAAAGTAAAGAAAGTGATGTAATAACTTGTAATGACTTTTTTTTATTTTTTTTATTAAAATGTATAATAAACAAATGAGCCATAAATATAAGGACAATGAATATAAAAACGCTTCAAATTTACGCTGGAGAGCAATATCAATAATTATATTCCATTTTCTTTTTTAGTATACTCTATGATTTTTTTCTTAATATTTTCATGTTTTCAAAATTTTAAGTATTAAGGTAGAAATAAATATTTCAAGATAGTGAATGCCAACCAAACTATACCTAACAATGCAATTATTGTCAATTTTCAAGCTACAAATGCGTTAACTAAAATATTTGGTCTAGTAGTTATATAACGTGGGTGTTTGGAAAATAACTATTTTAGTAGGTTATTTTAGTTTTTGGTTATTTTAAGAGGTTAAAATTTTTTGTTTGGAAAGATAGTTATATTTTTTTGTAGTTAGATGTGATATTTATGAGAAAAAAAATGAAATGATTATGAATTTGATGTGACATTTTGCCTTATTAATTATTTTAACTTATTTTCTTTTTTTAGTGTTATTTTAACCAAAAAAGCTAAAAAAAGCACTTCACAAACACCCCTAGGGGTGTTTGTATATTGTATATTTAATTTTTATGAAGAAGAATTTGATATTCAAAGTGTTTGTTTCTCCTCCATTACAAAGATTATACGTTGTTAGTTATTTGGGTCCGTTTGACAATCATTTCATTTGAGTTTTTAGTTTATATTTACAAAAATTTTAAAAAATGTCATAAAAACTTATTTGATAATTTTTTTTAATTTATAAATGATTGTCACAGTTTGTAAATTTAAAGAAAAAACGTAAACTCAAAAATTGAGTTTACGTTAATTTTTAAACAAAAATTTAAAAATTTGACTTACAAATAATTTTTTTCAATTAATTTTGTTTTCAAATAATTTTTTTCAATTATTATTTTTTTAATTATGCTTGGATTTTGATAAATAGCAGTTTTATATCATACTTTTAAAATAAAATGATTATGTTTTTTTTTTTAATGCATTTTGTTTATCATTGTACAAGAGGAGACTACCAAATAACTTTTTCACAAAGGACTCACTTGTGTAACTTCATACAAGCTATAAAATAGTAACTATTAAAAAATAAAAAAAATTATTCATTAAGTAGGTTAAAATTTATTTTTTTTGATTTTTTTATAAAAAAAATATGTAAAAATAAATAAATAGAGAAGTGATGTTACTTAAAAAAATCAAAAAATTAACTTTTTAACTTTTAATTCAATTGCCAAAAATAGGCGAAACTCTTTTAAACTTATTTAATTGCACCACAAAATTTTGGATAAATTACAATTTTTATTCCAGGTTTGACCCTATATTAAAATAAATATTACGTTTTTAATTTTATCAATTATAAATTTAACCTTTTGATATGTTTTGAATCTAAATTATTTGTTTATTTATATTAAATAAAAATAATAAAAAAATATTTTACTCATTAAATTTAACAAAAAATAATATTCTAGATATTTTATACATACTTACATTGAATTTAATAATTAAAATACTATTTTTGTTGATTTTTTTTTTTAAATAAATTAATAATTTGGATTAGAAAAAAATCAAAAAAAAAGATTTAAATTAATAAAATTTAAAGTTTTTTATTTTTATTTTTAATAAGGGGTCATATGTTTTTGTTTGTTTGTTTTTTAGATTAAAAAAAAAAAAAAAAACTATAACTATAACCAAACATGCCAGAGAGAATCAACTTGACCCAACTCCCAAATTCCTGATATCTCTTCTTCATCGTCCTCACATAGCCTCTCTTTCGAGAGGCCAAACCCTAACTTTCAAATACTCCATCGAGACTATTTGTTTCCTTAAATTTACATTTTCCAACTCATTCACTCTCTCTCTTAGGGTTTAGATAAAGATCGTCATGCATAGATCTGATTCATCTCAGAGATTTTTCTTAAGGTAAATACAAATCCCCAACTGAGCAAAGCCCTGTTTGCTTTCCCGGAAAATTTCGCACCCAAAATCTTCCCTAGAAAGTAAAACTAAGATCTTCAAGTTCAAATACACATATTTCTCACAATTTTTTTTTTTTTAAAAAATACAAGTTAATGGACATAAATAAACCAATTTATCAATGGAATTTTGAATTTGCAGGTGATATTGTTGTTGTTGCGTAATCAGTTGATGGGTAGGGATAAGGATTTGTCGAGGTCGCCGTCGTACCGGCGAAGGTATTCGCCGTCGCCGGCACCGGTGCGGGACAGGTATAGCAGGAGGAGTAGAAGAGATAGAAGCCGATCTCCATATTCTTATAGCAGGTGATATGATACCTGATTACTTTCTCTATCCATGTCTGTGATCAGTTTATTCATGTTAACTATGGAGACTCACATATCTGATCTTTTGTTGTTTATCTGTGCTTTTTGTTTTCCCCTTGAAGAGTGTATTCAATTCAGAATCACAGTGGTAATTTGTTTAGCAGAGAGTTTGGGGTTATGTAATTTTACATTTCAGGCAAAAATATGGGGTGGGTTGGTGATCACTGACACTTGAGCACACGTGTATGTGTAGTTTGTTAGAGGGGTTTTTTGCTGAATTTCTTGTTAGTGCTGGGATTTACGTGGCTTGAATTCATGGATGCTCACATTTGAAAAAAAATGGTTTCTTTTCCTTGTCGGACTCTTTGTTATGGTTTATTTTGAACTGGGTGCAAATTTTAAGTTCATTGCTAAGTTTGTTTTTTGGATTTGGTGAGCGAAAAGAAAAGGAAAGGGGAGAAGGAAGGAAAAGGAAAATGAGGTGGGAAAGCTAAATTTCTTATTTTTGACTGAGGCCTCGTTTGGCAAGAGGCTATTTTAGTCAAAAAGTTACTAAAAAAGTCAAAAAGCCAACAACCCATATCAAAAAGTCAAAGATTCTTTTTTCTCTCTACTTTTTGCACATCTTTTCGTAAAGAGCCAAAAAGTCATCTCAAACATACTAATTTTTTTTACATTACATTTTAGCTAAATAGTCAAAAAGTTACTAAATTAGCATGTTCCCAAACGAAGCCTGGGTTGAGAAAATGAATAGGCATTTATCAGAAAAGCCATTTTTTGGTTGGTTACCTACAAAAAAATGCATAGGTACAAGTAACTTCACTTGCCTTTTTATCTTTCTTTCCGTCAACAAATTTAAGATCCACATATTGCTCAATTCTCTGAAGAATCTAGGGCACCAACTTTATGCTACTGCAAAACAAAATGATATTTGCATGAGATGAAGTTTTGTATGTACCTAAACTTCTTTGCCAAATTTGAGTTTCCAACCAAAGACTGACCTTGACATCATTGGACATGATTATTTTACATGATGTTGCTCATTTTATTGGCTTCTTTGTTTTACTTTTTATAGGCAGACGGGTATGGATAGTTGTATACTCTTGGTATTGCTTATGACGCATTGCTGCACTGAGAGTTTTCACTTTCCATGACTGTGCTTACAGTTGATGACCATCATTCTTTCCGCGAGTATTGCGCATTCTTTGCTCATTCTGATGATTATGTTACCCAATTTGTAAGCAGTAGTGATTGGGCTATTGACTTCTGGGGAATTTTATATTTTGCACTGCATTGTGGAAATATGCTAAAGAGAGATATTTGTAGCATAACATTAAAAATGTTTCTTAGATGAGTGTGATAGAATACATTATTTTTTTCATAGAAATTTAAAAAGACGCAGTTGCTTCCCTTAAAATGGGAAGTGAGCAGGTGATGGGTGCCGATAAGTGTCCTTTTGTTGCTTGCTTCTTTAGCTGTTTCATGGGATAGAAGAGGCTGCACCCAGTTTATTCTTAGCAATGTTTGAGGTAACTGTACATGTTCCTATATTATGTTGCTAGATGGTGGGTTGGCATGATGCTATAAATGTATATACTATGATTTGCAAAATCATAGTCGTTGCTCAGTAACATATGTTATTACACAGACGAAGAAGTCGTTCAATCTCCCCTCGACGCCGCAAAAGTCCTTCCCCAACTCCAAGACGCCGTAAGAGTCGCTCTCCTACACCAAGGCATTATAAGAGACAAACAAGTATTAGTAATTCATTGTCTCCACCTAGTAAATCTCACAGTCCAAGTAGCGGGTCAATTGAGCGCAAAAATGCCATTGAAAAACTGAGAAAAGAAGAAGAAGAGAAGAAAAGGTATTAATCACTTTATATCCTGATTCTGATTCACTCTTTTTTATATATAATTTTTTTTGGGCACATCTTTAGAGTATAATAATGTGTTTGTTTCTATCCTTATTTCACCGTTGGCAGCATTTTTAAGTTTGATTTCCTATGAACTATCTTTTCTTCATGTTTCCTATCATCTCTACTTGGTACAAAACAAGTTTGCAGTCAATATATTTTGACCTGTCCATGTTCCCTTTTGTTTCCTTCAAATGATTTATCGAGCAAAAAAGAATGAAATTAAATTAGTTCATTTTTAAAGGGGAAATAAAATGTAAGTTAAGGTACTAGTATTTATAAGTTCATTTTTGTCAATGATTTATTAAGACAGGAAGAGGTTTTTGTCTTTTATGTGGCTATATGATACCAAGTTAGCATTGTCAGCGCGTGCAAGGTAGAACATTTATTCACTCTTACTTATCCCCCAAAAAAAGTCGCTTGCAATTTATTATGATGTCAGATAAATGAGACTCTTAAGGGAGTTATCATCCTCCTTTTGGGAGAATGTTTCCTAAGAAATTCCCATGTCTAGGTTTTCATAAATAGTCAATGCAGATTTTGTTCTTAGAAAGCTTTTCAACAAGCTTTGGGTAAATTATTGATTCTTCGTAGATCAATTAGCCATATGATCTGGGTATTATACCCTTCCATTCATATTGCTTTCTTTATGGTAACCATGCTCCTGTTGCCAATTGTGGTTGGGTGCCTTCTGATTATAAGAAATGTAGCAAACTGTCACATTGGATGCAAGTTGAGCCTAAATCAGCTAACCTGGATATTACATCCTTGCTTTCGTAATGATGGCCATGCACCTGTGACTAAAACGTAGTTTGTTGCTTTCTAATTGTAAGAAATGTAATGTAACTAACTGCCATATTGGATGTGAACCTAAATTACTGAAGTGCAAGAAAATAAAGTGGTGAGGTTGGCTTACATTTTGGCCCTTTTGGGACATAGGATTTGGATTGAGTTGAGGCTTTATTGCTCTCAAGTTACAAGAATGTGATGTGTGTAACTTTGTAATATTGAAAAAACATCGTAGACTTAAACTTTTTGTCTTCACCATTCACCTCTTTTTTCTTGTATCAAATGTTATTTTTCTTCTTGCAAGTGATGAGATTTTAGTTTGTGTTTTTAAATTCAACATTTGTTTTCAGATGGCCAAGTTCTTTATCTTTCGAACTTTTCTTTCTTTCTCTTGTATTTTCCTTATTTTATCTCGGATCTGATTGAGGCATTGAAACCAAGGCCATTGAACAGGATAACCCTCCTATACTTGTAAACCCTAGACCTTGGTGAAGGTAAAAATTTAATTCACGCATCAAGTAGCTGTCTAGTTAGGTTGATTGATAGACTTGCTGGCATCTTCTAGTTCTATTGTATAGTTAGTGATAGTACCTTCTGGTGGGGGTGGGGGTTGAGAGAGGTTCTCTGATTTTTTCTATCTGTTCGGGCCCCCCATAGGTAAGAAATTTCTTTAAGTTATTTTTTGTCGTGCACCGTCTAGGATTTTTTGTTGTGCACCGTCTGGGAAGTTGATGTAACTTGACTGGAGTGATGGAGATTGCGTTAGCCTGGTTGGAAAAGCTGAGTTCTGTTTGCTCTTGGGGTAGGTTGGCCTCTGGGATATTTTGTCCCACTTGCCCAAGTTGAAGTGTCATTTGTCATTTTTTTTTAATGCTATATTTGGTACATGGGGTGGAAAGTAGGAAAGAAGGGGAAGGAGGGATGGAATTGGCATCCCTGGTAATGGATTGTGGGTTCTGGCCAAGTTGTTTGGTTGAGTGGAAGGAAAAGAGGACGGAGCAATGGTTCTAACATCATTTTTACAATTATATGCTTATTTTGTTAAAAATTGAACAAAAAATTGAGGGACAAGAGGTAGCTGTTTCCCTCCTCTCTCCTGCCCAAAATTTGGGCAGATTGGTTTTTTTGGGCCGGAGAGGATTTCTTTACGTCTCTTCCTATCCCTTCCATCTTCTCATCCCTTCTGCCAAACAAGGGAATATGGTTCTTTCCCTCCCTTCTTCCCTCTTTTTCCCCATCTTTTCCTCATACCAAACATAGCTTAACTATTTTCCTGCAAGTAATTTTACAAACAATGGAATCACTAGTGTTTTGTCATTGTGTTCTGCTTTGACAAAACTATTTTAATGCAAGGATTGAAGTATGATGGTGATTAGTTTTAAAATTGCCACAGGTTACTTAACATTCTTCTCCACAGGCTTTTTTGAAGGAAGATACTGCTATAGTTCAACTTGTTATATTTGATGATGAATTGGATGCTTCGTTTATCTACTGTGTACCAGTTTTGAAACTCATTTGTTTGGATCAGGAATCGGTTAGAGGTATGCCTTAAAAGCATGAGCATATTTTTTTGTGCTTTTGTTGTCATGAAGGTTAGTTTGTCAATAATTAAATATAATAAAGAGAGAGGAAAAAGGGTGATTTTGTTATGTCAATTACCATTTCGGTTCTAATGTTACCCGACTTCAAAGGCATTTCTAGAATAAAAAATGATGTGTTTCCCTCCCAGCTTCAGTGGCCATTTCCTGCTTAACTTTCCTCTTGTTCTATCAGGCGTCAACAGGAGGCAGAATTGAATCTGATAGAAGAAGAAACTACAAAAAGAGTGGAAGAAGCAATACGGAACAAAGTCAAAGAGAGCTTGAACTCTGAGGAAATCAAGCTGGAAGTACAGAGACGATTGGAGGAAGGTCGGAAGAAACTTATTGATGTGGTTGCAGCTCAACTTGAGAAAGAAAAGGAAGTTGCTCTTATTGGAGCGAAACAAAAGGAGGCAAGTATTTTCAAAAAGCCCTTCACATATCACTTTCTTTTCCTTGGGCTATGTTTGGATAACATGAATCTTGAGGGAAAATGAGAATCTTATTACTAGTAACCAATTTTGTGTCAGTACTATTCAAGCATTTGCTTTTAGTTAGAAATCCTTCATTGGAAACTGATAAAAATTTAAATAGTGGATCCAAATTTTTTTCTTCTTTTAAATGACTAACATTCTTCCAAGAATGTAAGATTTACATGGGGTAGTGGAGGAATTAAATTCTTACTTAGTTTGGGAATGTGAGTGATTCCTGTTGAAATAGGTAATCAAGAATTACTTTTCCCCATAATTGGTTGGAATTATGGGGATCTAGGATCAAATTCGCATTCCCACTATAGATTCACTTTCACATCAAATTCTCTTTTTAATGTCTTCCTTACTATTGCATTCATAGGTTTTGGTGTACATGACTAAACTATATTAATTTGTTCTCTCTCAACTATCTTCAATTGATACTACTCTTGCCATTACACACATAATATATTCATTTCTAATTCTATCCTTCTTATTTGTACCGCACATCTATCTAGACATTCTCATCTTAGCTACTCATTTTATGAAAATGCTATTTCTTAATTGCCCAACATTTTGCCCTGTAAAGCATCTTTAGCTTCATACTTATTCTATAAAAAATTTATTTCAATGTTGTTGGTATTCATCAATCCAATAATAAGCCAGATGCACACGTCCACTCGAGCCAACTTATTTTGATTCTATGGATGACATTAGCTCTAACCTCACCATCCTCTTATTTTGATTCTAACCTCACCATCCTCATTAATAACCAAGCCTAGGTAACAAAAATGTTCACTAGTTGTTATTTCTTGATTTTCAATTTTAACTTTGGCAATGCACGAAAAATAATTGGAATTTGCCATGCAGGAACAAGCTCGAAAAGAGAAAGAAGAGCTAGAGAGGATGCTTGAAGAGAACAGGAGGAAGTTGCAAGAAGCTCAGATGAGAGAAGCATTAGAGCAGCAACGGAGGGAGGAGGAACGATACAGAGAACTGGAAGAGCTTCAAAGACAAAAAGAAGAGGCCATGCGGAGGAAGAAGCAGCAAGAGGAAGAAGAAAGCACAAACCAGACTAAAGTGTTGGGTAAGAACAAATCCCGGCCAAAAGTCTCATTCGCGCTTAGTTTGAAATGATTTTGGTAACCTGGGATTCAATTTCGTGTTGTTTATTTACATTTGTCAAGTTGCTCGGTGTAATTTGAAGAAAATTACAGTTTTTGGTGGCATAGGTTTTTGTTTTTTTGGTGTGGTCCAGTCAAATGTTGCACATATCTTTCTGGTGTAATTTATCAGTGTAAGCATGAAGTTTAAGTGCTTGTTTTTGGTATCAGTTGAATACCTAATGCCCTGGTGCTTCTTGTGTTTAATGATATAACCTCTGATATAAAATAAAAAATAGAATAAAGCTTGTTAGCTCAAAAACTTGGAGGCTCGACTGGCTTGAAATTCAAAACGACGTCGTTTTGAATTCCTCCCTCCCCCCTCCTCCCTCTTTTTTTTCCTCTCTTTTCTCTCTGAAACAGGGAGGAGAGGGAAGAGAGGAGAGAAGGGAGAAGAAAGAGAGAAGAGGGAGGAAGAGAGCCGATGAGTTTGAGGGAGGCAATGAGCGACGGAGAGCAACGGTGATGGCGACGATGGGCTAGGTATACACACAGAGCAACGCGATGATGGGCTTCTTTCTTTGTTCTTCTTTGTTCTTTTTATTTCTTTTCTTCTTTCTTTCTCTTTTTCCTCCACCTCCTCCCCCTGTTGCTCTGGGTTTGTTTTTTTTTTATTTTGATTTGTGTAGATTTGGTTTGTTTTATTGATTTTTTTGAATTTGATTTTGATTTTGATTTTTTCAAAGAGCAAAACAAAGCACAGCAAAGGGGGAGGGAGAAGATGGAAGAAGAGGAGGAAAAAAAAAAAGAAGCCAAAACGATGTCTTTTTGGCATCTCGAGCCATTTGAGTCACAGTAAATTTAAACTATTTAGGAGGATTGTAAAAAATAAATGGCATATCAAAATTATTAAATTTTTTAAAGAAATCACACCCCAAATTCATCAATGGAATGTGTGCCCAATGGCCAAGTGATATATTTATAGGTGTATCTCTTTGAATAGACAAATACAATGACTCTATTTCATTTGTTTGGGGCATGCAATTAAAAGTCCTCTCTTTTTTTTCCTTCCTGAAATTCAAAACGACGTCGTTTTGAATTCCTCCCTCTCCCCTCCTCCCTCCTTATTTTTTCCTCTCTTTTCTCTCTGAAACAGGGAGAGGGAAGAGAGGAGAGAAGGGAGAAGAAAGAGAGAAGAGGGAGGAAGAGAGCCGATGAGTTTGAGGGAGGCAATGAGCGACGGAGAGCAACGGTGATGGCGACGATGGGCTAGGTATACACACAGAGCAACGCGATGATGGGCTTCTTTCTTTGTTCTTCTTTGTTCTTTTTATTTCTTTTCTTCTTTCTTTCTCTTTTTCCTCCACCTCCTCCCCCTGTTGCTCTGGGTTTGTTTTTTTTTTATTTTGATTTGTGTAGATTTGGTTTGTTTTATTGATTTTTTTGATTTTGATTTTGATTTTGATTTTTTCAAAGAGCAAAACAAAGCACAGCAAAGGGGGAGGGAGAAGATGGAAGAAGAGGAGGAAAAAAAAAAAGAAGCCAAAACGATGTCTTTTTGGCATCTCGAGCCATTTGAGTCACAGTAAATTTAAACTATTTAGGAGGATTGTAAAAAATAAATGGCATATCAAAATTATTAAATTTTTTAAAGAAATCACACCCCAAATTCATCAATGGAATGTGTGCCCAATGGCCAAGTGATATATTTAGGTGTATCTCTTTGAAGAGACAAATACAATGACTCTATTTCATTTGTTTGGGGCATGCAATTAAAAGTCCTCTCTTTTTTTTCCTTTTTTTTTGGTTTTTTTGGGGGGTTTCGTTTTGGTTTCTAGTGATTTCTTACAAAATTGTCATTGTTTACTTTTTTTAATTTCATCCACAAAATTTGAAAGTAACTTTTAAAAAAAAAACATCAAAAGAAATAACAAGAAAAAAAGCTTAAAAGAAATAAATAAAAAAAAAGTAGATTGTTTTTGATATTTTTGATTTTTTTTTTTTTATACTTTTTGATCGATTTAGTCTAGTAGAATGTGTAAAAAAAAATTTAAAAATTCACTAAAAAGAAAAAAAAAAAATCAACAAAAAATTACTATAAAGGTCAACTCTAAACACCTATTTTTATTCCAAGAAAAAATAAAAAATAGATTAATTTTAGAAAGTGCCCAACATATTTGAGAAGCTTATGCAAGTGGATTCGTCAAATTTCAATCCATTCATGTCAAATCCACCATATATGGATTTTGATTTATCAAACAGAGAAAAGTGAACAGGAATTAAAATTGCTTCACATATTCAATTTTTATAATTAAAGAAAAAATGGATTTTTAAAAAACTGTCACTTTCTCTTCATTTCCCTAACCCAGTTTTTTTTTTTTTTTTTTTTTTTTTTTTTTTTTTTTTTTTTAAGAGGGAGAAAAAAAGGAGGAGTATTTTCTACTTAATTTTCTTTTCCTTCAACAAATCTGAAATTCAAATACAACCTAAATACAGCATGAATTAGACATTTACTCCGATGATGCAAAACGTATGTTCACGAACAGAGGATAACAAACTCACAAGCCCTACAATACCGAAAAATTAAAAAAAATGTAAACCTGTTTAGTTTTTTGTACAAATCTTCCTTCTCTTGAAAACATACTCAAAAAAGAAAGAAATAAAATCATTTTTTTCAGCACATCCTTTCTTGGCAAAATGCAAAGCAAAATGCTATGAAAATCAACATTATGATCACCGAAATAGTTACGGATTTAATTTGTATATTAAGCAATTTCAAGCTGAAAGATATACACTAGAAAAATAAAATAAAATAAAAAAGAAATTGGATAAAAATCGACAACTCCGTGTGCTGAAATTTTTTGCAGTAACTACAAAAGCCATACCTGTAAAACCATATGATACCTTCAACAAAACAAAAACCAAGATCTTCCCTCATCAAGGTTGCTCAGGGTTGGGGAAAACTTTCTCGAGAAAATTGATGAAACGCCTAGAATACAGCTTTGGTTCATAGCAGTTATACGTGGTACATCCAATAGCAAAACAGTACAGTAGGTCTTAACAGACCGAACAGTCAATTGATGGCCATCATAACAGTAAACAGTAATGGTTCCAAACATGGGAACCGACAAAGATTTCTATGACAGTAGCAGTAAGTTGCTATGGATGCCCCGAGTACAGTTCATAATTAGGACATCATTCATTCAGTAAACAATAAACAATATTACTTCAGAAAACAGTACAGTTGATTATTCAGAAAATAATCATCATTGAACATATATTTACAACATTGTTACTCACAGAGCACTGGGTTACAGATAGGCTAGTTCGCGTCCTCGGATGCCAACCCTACAGTTACAGAATGAACACACACTAAGGTTGCCCACCCCTAGTTGCTATGGATGCCCCGAGTACAGTTCATAATTAGGACATCATTCATTCAGTAAACAGTAAACAATATTACTTCAGAAAACAGTACAGTTGATTATTCAGAAAATAATCATCATTGAACATATATTTACAACATTGTTACTCACAGAGCACTGGGTTACAGATAGGCTAGTGTGCGTCCTCGGATGCCAACCCTACAGTTACAGAATGAACACACACTAAGTTATACACTTGGATTTAATAACTTAACCCCTAACTTGACTCGGTGTGGTTCTACATCAATATCCTCCTTAAGATGCCTTAAACATGCCCTAGAAATGCCTAGGATGAAAAGAGAATGCAAAGATGCACTTTAAAACACTTTTCAAAATTTGCTGAAACAGGGGTTCACGCTCGAGCGCGGATTTCTACGCTCGAGCGAACATGCAGACAAAGGAGCTCCGCTCGAGCGTGACTTTCCTCGCTCGAGCGGACTGCAAACTTAGGCAAAAGTGCTGGATGTAAAAATCACGCTCGATGGACGCTCGATCCATGCTCAAGCGTAAGACTCAGGTCCACGCTCGAGCGTGAAGTCCCTCGCTCGAGCGGACTGCAAAACAAATGAACTTTTGGGCATATGAATTTCACACTCGAGCGTGGCTTCCTACGCTCGAGCGCAAGTACAAGACTCAGAGTGTACGCTCGAGCGTGAAGTCCTCCGCTCGAGCGTAGATCTAAAATTTGGAATTTCCAAATTGAACCTCAAGCACAAAATTCAACTTTCAAAACTTCAAATTCGATCCTTTTGGGCTAATTTTCTGGAAAACGCTATAAAACCCATAATATGACATGTTTCAAAGATCAATTTGCAAAATCAAAGCCCAAAGGTAGATCAATTAAACACAAATTTCAAGAGGCTAGAAAAACAATGCAAATTCAACACATGCATGGGTTCCTAGGAACTCCAATGTTCTAAAACAAAATCAAATGCAAGATTTAAATTGAACCTCAAGCACAAAATTCAACTTTTAAAACTTCAAATTCGATCCTTTTGGGCTAATTTTCTGGAAAACGCTATAAAACCCATAATATGGCATGTTTCAAAGATCAATTTGCAAAATCAAAGCCCAAAGGTAGATCAATTAAACACAAATTTCAAGAGGCTAGAAAAACAATGCAAATTCAACACATGCATGGGTTCCTAGGAACTCCAATGTTCTAAAACAAAATCAAATGCAAGATTTAACTTCAAAACATGGTGAGTTCATGGATCAAGACCCAAAATAGGAACATGCAAGTAGAAATTCTCATGAAACAACTTCAAAACTCAAGAATGTGCACATGCATGCATGATCTAGCTCTCAATTCAACATTTTAAACCAATTTATGACTTTAAAACTCTAATCTTCCATAAACCATGCAAGAACTAACTTAAATACACAATTGAGAGGATGGATTCCTTACCTAAGTTTTGAATTCCAAGTTTTGAAGCTTTAATTACACAATCTCTCTTCAATTTCTCCTAAGTTCCAAGCCAAACTAGGTGAACTCAACTTCTTTCCTCTCACTCTCCTCTCACCCACGGTTTGGTCTTCAAATATGAGCAAATGATATGAAACTAAGCTCTAAACAATGAGTAAAAAAGTGGCCCACTGTAATGGTAATTTGGTAATTATCCTTGATTCAATAATTTAACATTATTTAATCTAATTTAATTATTCTAAATCAAATTTCAGTTAAAACTACCATAAAATCACATAAATTCTAATTAACATAAAATACTAATCGATTTCTGATTTGGTCACCGATAGGACCTTCAATTTGCAATTCGAAATTAAAACATGAACAGATCGTTTAATGACTAACAGATAGAAATGCATTTAAAACAGTATACTCTT